TTTGCCAGTTGCTTTAACCTTTCTTTACTGTGTTCTACATTTAACCTACCAGAGTTCATGATCCTTTCTATTTTCTTCATTTGGATACAACTTCATATATATATTTTTAAAGGATATCTACCTGCTGTTCAACCATGCTGAGTTTATCTGTTTTCAAGTCCTATTTGATGTGTGGCATGCACTTACTCTGTGTCTCCAATATATGTATTTTAATACTCTCTAGGCTACTTGCAAAGATTCAATTCTCCAGGGTGTCCTCTTTAGTGCCTCTTTAAGACGCTTCCTCAGTGTTATGTTGTTTCCCTTTCTGAAGTTGAGTACCACTCTATTTTGTTGGCTGTTGTTGCTTCATCAAAACTATTGAAGATAAGAATGTTTTATTTGTAGCTGCAGAATAGCCCTTCAAATATCAACTCTTAGTAAATTATCAACACTTCGACTCTGTATGCTATTCAGAATGAAATCAAGAGTTAATTCCCTCTTGTTGGATACTCCAATCTGGTGAAGTGTGAAGCAGTCACTGCCCTGAAATAAGTTCACTGTGCAGCACATTCTGATGTGGCACTTGTCCAGTTTCCATATGCATATTTTTCCTCTTGCAATATTTATGACTCCCTAGGCATGTCAGTCAAAGCCGATCTTCTAACTTGTTGGCTTGTTACATGTTGCTGATAACACTGTCATGTGCTTGGAATACATGGGAATTCCAACTCACTCACTGAACTGATTAATTTGTTAATCTGGTTTTACTTCAAGTTTTCTTTAATAGGCAACACTATTCCACTACTGGCATGGCCTGCTCAACCTTTCCTGTATATTGATGTTTTTTTTTACTACAGCAATCTCAGGAAAAGTCAGTGTGAAACTAAGTACTAGAAACATTCCATAAGATTCCAGAATATTAAAATAATTTGTTATCACATGGTTGAATAGGAGGAAATATCATAGTGACAACTGTATATCTAGTACTGAGACATCAAGGAACAAAAACACTGCTATCCCAGATAACAGATTTAAAATGTTGCAAGAAATACTGGCATCTGGCATGCAAACTATTGTTTTTTTCATAAGTCTAGCACTGATCTAAGACCATTTTACTTTTGGGAACTATAAAATCTGGTATATCTCCCCTAGTTCTTATTAACATTATTACTGGTTACCTTCTACAGCCACAGAGATTCAGTCTGTGCCCACATCATAGAAATCTGTACTCTGAGCAAGAAGTGTGCATGACTGCATGTCTACACAAAGACTTAGTAAGTATGAAATTGAATTATAATGTCCCTGGTGCTCAGGGAGAAGTGATTCATAAAAGATTTTGCTATTTCAGACCATGGTTTCATTCCAAAGCAGGTGCATCAGTGAGAAGATGAAATGAGTGTGGTTTCCTACATATTTTTGTCTTGTGGTTGGATTCTCTGTGTCTAATTAACAGTAACACTCCTCAGCAGCAGAGCATATATCATGTTTGTCTTTAGAAAGAAGAGTAAACTCACACTGAAACTCTCCCCTTAGGGAGATTCTATCAGAATCTTTCCTCCATACAGGTGACTGTTTCCATGATATCTGTAGCAATGCTATGTCCTTAAGAGCTGTAACTGCTCTGTTAAAATTATCTGAATTTGCCTGATTCTAAGTTTACTGAGCAACAGGAATAAATAGGCACACATATAACACCTTTGCATATAAATATTTCTTAAGAAACTAGAAAAAAATCAGATGATTTGAAAAAGAAAGTAGGGCTCTGCCAGTGGGGCAGATAAACACAAATTTCAAGTACAGCTTAGAAAGAAACTGAGAAAATCAGCAACTGGTCTCTTCACTGGTTTCTTCTGAAACATTACCAAAAGAAAAACATTACAGAGGATGTAATAAGAAAAAACAGATGAACAGAGTTAACATTACGGTTAAAAACCACCTTTCCACACTGCTGTTTGAAGCTGAGAAGCATTTTGTGTCAGAAAACGCATTTGCACTATGTGAGAATCAAGCCTACAGTACTCTATACAAAGATTATGTAGGAAGAACCTTACCATTCTTTTGTAGGAAACTGGAGTACAGCTACAAGAACTTTTAAAGCTGTCCCTCCTTTATTCTGTAGTCTGTTTTAAGCAAAAAGTTTTCTTGCTTATATATCAAATACAAGTAACTGCCCTACTGATGGCTGGAGGATCTGTATACTTTAGGTCTCAGTCATTGTAACTTTTTATTGAGTCTCTTAGAGCATTTGTAAATGTGTGTTTCTCAAGAAAAGCTGATGTCTAGGGTCTGGATTGCAGAGACCAATCTGAAAACTGATGGACAAACATCCCAGTTTGTTTCTTGCTCCTGCCAGTGCCATTCATTCCAACAGAAGCCTTTTCACTTTCCTTTACACTTTTAGACACAGGCTGCTCATCTTCAGCTTTAAGACATATAAATAGTATTAGATATACTATATCAGTATTAGATATTCAGTATTCAGTATTCAGTATCAGATATTCAGTATTTCAGTATTAGATATACTATACAGTATATAGAAGTCTAGATTGACTTCACAAATTCAGAGAAAGGAATTTGGAGTTTTAAGAAGTACTTGATAATTTGCTGGTGTTGAGATTCAAATAAACCATTTAGTGAGTAATTTCTAACCAAGGACATTGATTTAAGACTTCTGTTTGGTTACTTTCACTTATACTTTCCATTTATGAAAATACAATTAATAAAGACCACCTGAAAGTGTTAAATCTTCACACACAACTTCTACAAAGAAAGTCAGTGAGTATTCATAATTAAAATAGCACTCAAAACACCTTGATGCACAGAAATGAGTCATAGCTAAAATGACTGATAGCACTCAGAACTTTGGAGTCTACATTCAGCTTAGCCTCTACTACTTAGATCTACTTTAACTGAGAGAAAACATGCCATTAAAATTGTTTCTCAGACACAAGTAAGATAAGAAATATTTCATTTTCAATTCAGAAATAAAACAGAAACTTGCCTCCAGTAGTATTTACCATGTGATAAGTATTTTCCAAACACACAACAAACTACTCAAGTAAAGAGTTCACCATTGCAGAATGCAGTGAAAAAATCCCTAAAATGAAAATGACAAATGCAAATACAATTTTTTTTTTTTTTTTTTTTTTTTTTTTTAAGTAAGGGCTTTCTGGGACCTAGAGAGGCCTGCTTCAGGAAAATAAATTGCAGTTTATCTCATTGCTTAAATATGTATAATAATTCAAATAAGTAAAAATACTTTAATGGCAACATTTACTTGCATATTACTTTTAATTCCTCCCCTCCTCAAGTCCATTAGCTTAAGAAAGCATTCTGAGTAGTTTACAGTCACAACAGAGATTTCTAACAGAGAATCTTGGTCAATTCTATGCTGAGTATTTAAAATATAACGTAGATTCATGCACACATTACCCATTTTTATGTGAGTTTTAAAGATTTTGCATGGGCTTACCCAGTTCCCAGGGAGGTCCAGCTTTAAAATTATTCAGGCCACTGGTGTGCAACCCCATGATCATAATGCCAAGTATGGAGAAAACTTACTAAGGTTTTAGCAGTACAAATTACACACTCGTAAGTTCAGATCCGAACTGCAAGCTTTTAGAACTGCAATTACAATTACTTTTCAAATATACTGCATTTAAGGCTTGACAGCTTCACAGTTATTGTGGCTGCCTACAAAAAAAAAATCACTCCTGTGATTCTGCTAAGATTAGATATCAGGACTTTCAGTTTTGGTTTCCCTTTGATCAAGGTAAAAAAAAAAAAAAAAATAGTTCAATTGTCAATGAGTGATGGGCTGGTTTGGCCCATCTAACTCAGTCAAGTTTTGAAATGAGCATTATTTAAGTTAGATTTTGTAATTATTCATAATAGCATGTTTGCTTTTATATGCACAGTGAAACAGTTACAGTGATAACTGAAATATCCTCAGTTGCAATGCAGTTAGAAGGTAGTGAAATAAGCAGGCCTGTCAACATGCTGCTATTGTTTCAAGCTCTGCAAATATAGGGCACAAGTGTCTGCACAAGATACATTTTAGTTACACTTTCCATTTTTATTGACAATCAGAATGGCTGGAGAGTCTCATCAAAATCAAGTTCAAACTCTAGGGAATGATTGTGGAAACTTTTTCAGTCTATAAAATGATTTCTTGAAAGGCTTGCATGGCAGTTTAGGGTACATCATTCTAAGGTATCTTTCAGGTATTTCTAAGGTATCTTTCTTTTGTTTTCTTTTGGTTCTGTATCACTGCTGCCATGGTTCTTTCTACCAGGTCCTCCATGTCCAGAAAGCCTATTCCGTTCTCCATTGTTCCATTCCATTCCATTCCATTCCATTCCATTCCATTCCATTCCATT